AGGACAAGACAAGCAGTCCGAGCAACCTCGTCAGCATCTGGAGAAGGAAGAAGATGAAGAAGAGCCCCGGAGGAAAGAAGTTAACTCAACTCCATCTGAATGTCTGTAACATTTGTCAAATGTCTTTTCTTTTTTGACTCCCCAGCTTGCATAAGATACTTGTTGAAATGATTATTGATGATAGTTACATGATACAGCAAAGGTGATACATGGGCAACTCTGCCCTGGAACATGCAAAAGGCCTCTGCACAAAGAAATCCACGTGTGTGTGATGCATTTGGTACTTAGAGGTCAGAAATGTAAAATGTGTTGTCAAACATCCTGAGAGTGTAAAGATGCTAAAACAGGACTGATGTGATCACATCTGTCGAGCTCTGTACTGTGTTCAGTAGTAAACAGGCCGTTAAAGTAATTCAGACCCGATGAGGTAAAAGTGCACAAAATAGTCTTGTTTTCAAAAAAATATTAAATAAGATTTGCTTCTGAAACTATTTAAACACGACTGCATTAGATTCGAGCTGCACTGTTCAAAATGCAAGAAATAAATATTCAAGAAATGGAAAACTCTTTGCAAAAGACTTGATAATGAAGGGAACCAGCTGATGACTAACAGTTTCACAACTGATGATTTCTGTTTTTAGATCAACTAAATAAAACGATGCTGTTGTAAAAAGGCAGCTATTAGGAGACGTCAACATTCCAGTGTTGGAGTGTTTAGGTACATGCATGTGTCATCAGCACAGAAAAGCTCAGAGACGCTGTGTCTGTGACATTTACACCCCGAGTGGAGACGAGGAGAGCATGAAATCAATCCCAGAGCTGGCCCCTGTGGCGCACCGCACAGATATAAAAGCATTTACTAAATAAGTGTCCTATGTGAAAAACGCTAACAAAAACTGTGGACACTCAACACGATGCCCTCACATCCTGGTCTGTTTCATAAAATCAATTTTAAATAATCATTCAAGTCTGACAACTAAAAACATTAAAATGTTTTAAAAACACAATTTTTACTGTCACGTATAAAAAGTTTTCAGTCTGGATGAAACATGCAGTTGAATTTTGAAAGTTTTAGTCTTTTTTTGATGCATACATTTAAAAAAAATAACCTAAATTTCTCTCAGACTTGAAAATAAAATCCTCTGAGATGCTTTGGAGAGACTCACCGCCACATCCGAGCTGTGCTGCATCTTCTGGAGAAGCAGATTTGGGAAGATGAGCTAAATGGAAGAGGCTTTGATGCATTTATAAGCCTCGGCCAAAACAAAACAGCTTTCAGGTTCAGTCTCACCTGCAGACAAAGGCTGGAAACACGGGGAGGAGGGCGGCTGCAGCAGGGGTGTCTATTGTGAGGAAGAACTGGGCGTTCTGCCTGCGACATGATACAGAAAGAAGAGATGATTCTCTGTTTATCGTGCCATCTTTCTCCACCCTCCATTTTCTCTCATCCTTTAAAAAACACATTTAATCTTTCCTTTCCACACCTCTCGCTGAAGCAATCACACCAGTAGTTACATAAAAAACTAAACAACATGAAAGACTAAAGGAAATGAGTCCGTTTAGTTTTCTTAGAATCAAACCGTTGATGTGCAACTCATGTTTGAATGAGTGAGGAACAAGTCAGGAGCAAACTTGTGTTGTCATATTGATGCAACAGCAGGTGCTTTATCGTTTTCCTGTGACCACCTGGCAGTGGTTTGATCCTCTCTTTACCTTTATTAGATTATTGACTAGATTAGTTGTTCATGCTTCAATGTTGCTGGGCAGGCACGCACCTGCAGGTTCAGGTTTATGGAAGCAGGAGGTCTGGCCATTGTTGTTCCTTTGGATTTTATATAATTTTCTATTATATCCACAAAGGTTTTCTCATTTTTCTGATTTCTCAGAACACCCATCGTCTAGTTTTTGCCACCTATTTAAACTTTGTCTGTGATTGTAAACCAAAAGCTGTGTGGCACAAATGAATTATGTAGCTATTATTTCTGACTAACCTCTATTTTATCATTAGGTTCAAAAGATTAAGTACAAACAAGTACCACAGTCGCCACATAATGATGAAGCTGTAATAATTTATTCAGCATGATGTTCAACAATGCAGTAATCTAACACTGAGGAGGCAGCCAGGCTTCACAAAGGGCAGCCTACTTTTTGTTAGCACATTTTACTGCACAACAATGATTTTATTCTATGAAACATCTCATGAGACTGTCTCGATACACAATATTAAAAAAACGAATTATACGCCTGGGAAGAAAAACAACCTGTAGCTGAAATTTAAAACTGGCCTAATTTCAAGATGACCCAATGAACATAAAGTTTAAGCTGCAGGTATTTATTAAGTATTGAGTCTGTACTTTTACTTGAATCGAACCTTTCTCAGTAAAATGCTTTTTATTCGATGCTATTAACACCCAGACACGTCCATCAGGGCAATTCGAGGTTGAGTACTTTGACCACTTAGACATGTGGAAGACAACAGGTCTAATTTAATTTCCTGTTGGTGGAGAACCCTTAAAACATGTGGCTTTTTATTTATTTTTAGTAAAACCAAACTTTTATTTGATTAGTTTTTTTTACAGGCAGACATTGGGCGACACTCTCTCTATCCCCAGTCATTTTTATGGCAGCTTCAAGAGGGCAATGTAGCTGTCAAATGGGGCGCTGCGTCCCTGGAACTAGTTATTTTGAAGTAATGTATAAATAAAATACTAGAATTTTGTATATTTAGCACAGTGTTACCTCCAGGCCTGGTGTATCCACCTCAAAGCACCCAAACATTACAGCTCAGCAGAACTGGTTTAGTCGAGTTCGCTAAAACTCGCCTAGTTGGGTAAAATTAGCTATAGAGACCAAAACCATCTTTAGTAGCCTGTAGCCTGTAAACATGTTTATTTCTGCTCTGAACTGGAGCTTTTTAACATGCGAGTTTACTGGGACTGAGTCACTTTGGAGCCAGCCTCAAGTGGCCACTATAGGAACTGCAGCTTCTGGTTGGCAGTTCTGTACTGGTTTTACTGGGGGTAGGTAAACCTCCAGGGCAGTGGTTCTTAACCTGGGTGCGATCG